TATCAATAATAATAATGATAACAATAATAGTAACAATAACAATAATAATTATAATTATAATAATAATAGTAAGAATAATAATAGCTTCAATAAAAATGTATAATAGTTATAACAATAATAAAAATGATGAGGATGATGAGGAGGAGGAGGAGGAGGAGGAGGAGGATGATGATGATGATGATGATGATGATGATGATGATGATGATGATGATGATGATGATGATGATGATGATGATGATGATTGATAAATAAAAAAGTAAAAATAAAATAATAGTAATTTTAATATCAATAATAATGATAATGATAATAATAATTATTATTATTATATTACTACTATTATTACTATTATCCCAACTATAAAGCTCAACATTATTACCATCACTACTGATTTTGAAAGTCGTAGGTTGAATCAAAATATAGTTATTGGTTACTTTAATTATTGCCCTATAGTTTTGATAACTTAATTGTTATTACCAGTATTTTTTAGCTCAATATCATCATTTATTTACTGTTGTTATCATCTTCCAGTATATGGTTAATGGTGCAGTTAGGTGGTATATTATTCTAGTGTATGTATGTCAAATAATAGTTCTTATTATTTCTTATAATAATATCTTAAAAAATAAAAACATTCTTTAAACTTTAATAAATCAGTTTAATAAATTAGTTTAGCAAGCATTTTTTTACTTACAGATGAATGCCAGCATCAAAGAATGTATTTTGTCATACTGTATACCTGGCCTAACATACAGATAACATAATGTATATAACATAAGGAACACTTGAAAAGCACAAAAAACTTGCACAAATATCATAACAAAAGTAGCACAGTTTCCACAGCTATATACAGCAATCTCATCTCTATACTTCCTTGAAAGAAGTACCAAGATATATAATAACAGCATATTGTATATATACATGTTCTATTTCCAATGAATAACCATTAAAAACTGGTGCACCAAGATTTCTTTCTAAATTTCATATTGCAATAGCTGAGGCTCAGCTTCTTAAAGGACATAATAATGTATGATACCATCTAGTTGGAATCCATGTAAGCTGAAATAAAATTATAGTCTATATACATCATGAATATGTACCTAACTGGACTTTTTTTCTCCATCCTCATTATATAACTAAGCAATGCCTCTATGAATGACCCATGTTCAAATGTATATGCAATTCTGATATTTGTTGGATATTAGGAGTGTGCCATATTGTAAAAAAAATATATATATATATGTATGTGTGTATTGGTGTATAAATATATTTCATAAAGAGAGACAGTCAGACAGATCCATAGATGAACAAATACATACATACATACATACATACATACATATATATATATATATATATATATATATATATATATATATATATATATATATATATATATATATATATATATATATATTTAAATGACATATTCTGTTTGCCTAAACATACTGTCCAAAAATTTACCTTTGTAAATCATGGGTCATAAATGCTTTTACTGACATATATTTCAATATTCATCATAATGCAGTGATATTCAATTACCTTGATAAATTGTAAATTCTTAAAAAAAACATCCTTGATTACAATCCATTCACATGATGCTAACAAATATTGCTCATTTAGGAAAAGATGACTACAAGTTAACTATATACATGATAAACAAATGAAGTTTTCTAGCATATTACACTGAATTTCCAATTACATAATACTCTTTTTTAAAAGTGCATACATGAGAAACTTATATTCAGAAACTAACTGTGTATACCTTTTCATTGATTTTTTGAGCATCAGTATTTACAAACATAATCAACAATTTAAAAAATATTCCGATTTCCCTCAAGATTATTTGGAAAAAAGCAACAAAAGAAAATAGGCTTACTTCAGTGTTGAAGAGGGTGCTTAGGTGATGCCAGAAAGGAGGAGTAATTTTTGATTACCAGAGCAAAATAACAACCTTGTAATTCATGTGCTACTGATAGAGTCTTGCCAATATTTAAAGATCATCCTTTATACTGATGCTTATTTCCAATGGCAAAAAGAGAAAAAAGAACTAAATATTGTCATTGGGAGACTTGTTCAGAATACTTTGTGGTATGACAATAATCCTTTGAGAAATTCTGATGTAATGGCTTGTACTGTAATGTTCATCCCACATTACTTGACTACAGACCACTAAAATAACTAAGACCTCTGCAATATCAGACAAATATCAGACACATTATTCAAATGTCAGGGGTTATAATCAGTGTATCCATGAATATATTATGAACATACTTGCATATATCACTTCAATTCCTGATAATATCAACTGATCTTATCTTAATGAATCATTTTACAATTATGAATCTATATAAGGTTTGAAGACTATAAATAACAATCTTATAGTGGCATTGAAGAAAGTGACATTGCTCCAAATTATTTGGGGTTATTTTACTTTTATGGTGAAAATGAAATATTAAAATATACACATTCAAATTATTTGTTACTTGTATGGCATATTAAA